ACAATACAGCCTCTCCAGACTGCCACCAAGTCATTTGTTGCCTGGACCCCGACATTCTAACATGCAAGACACTGCCCACACACATTTTGATCCAGTGACCTGGACTTTACCTGGTTTCTGGACATGACCAAGTGTTCTGTGACAGTTGGGCTTAGGGTAAAATGACCCAACGGTTTAAAAATCATCATGCCAGGAAGCACACGGCAGATTCACTATTGACCCTGGCAGATGGATAAAGGAGCATCCCAGAGCCCTCAGTGCATTTTTCAGGCTTTAATGCTCCTGGAGAACCAGGTAAACAGGCGTGCCAGGCCAGGAGGCTGGCATGCAAGGAGGTGGGCACAGGCCAGGAGGAGGGCGCTGTGGAGTGGGCAGCAACCAGGGCTTCCACACCCTCCCCCTCCAAAGGCTCTGCTCTTTCCCTGGGGCTCTCTGGAAGATTCCCACAGTCTCTCACCACAGCCATTTTCTGCTGTTGTCCGCTGAGTGGCACTGCCTTTCTATATCCTGGCCTGGCTCAGGTGAGCACTCTTGGGCCCACCCATGCTCCAGGTGTACACAATCAGGCACGCACGTCCCATGCTTACATTCCCAAGAGTCTTCTGCGTCAACAGGATCAAGGCCGCAGGTGGTAGCCAGAGGCCAGTGGTGTAAAAAGTCTGTTCAACTTAATTTACCACAGGACAACTTTTTTTGATGTCCCCCATGACCTCTGATGTAATAGAGAATGATAAGAGGAACATGAGGAAGGAGGGTTTTACTTGGTGCAGATTATCCAGATTTTTGGCTTCCTAGATTTCTTTCCTCCCTTTTGAGATGACCCTCACTGTCTTAGCAGTTTCAGGTGAGAAAGGGTGAAAACAGCCAGCCTATAAAATGGCCAACACACCAGTCAGTCCTTGTTAACCAGATTTTGGAGAGGGTCTTGATAGAAAGCAGCAACTACTTCACATGGAAAACAGGTAGGAGTTCTTTAAAAAAAAAAAAAAAAGATTTATGTACTGAACTGGTGTACAGGCTAGAGGTGTGGGGGTGAGAGGGTTCACCAGTGACAGAGTGGGGTGCAGAACAGGCAGATAGACGAAGTACACGGCTGAGGGGAGCAGCGGGCGGGTCAGGAGAGGTCTGCTGCACCAACTGGGTCAGCTCTCTGGCCGGGGATCGAGCTGCTGCAGTGACTGTGGTAGCTTCATAGTGCTGTGCTGTAACCCGTTGTGCTACCGGGGAGGGCCCAGGAGTCTGGTTCTTTGTGTGGGATCAGCTACCACTGATGGAGGCTCCACTGGCATGAGCTGAGCTCGGCTGCCACTGCTCCCCAGGAACTGATGTGCTGTATCTGTTCTCACTTGGCCTGGCCTCCTCAGCCCCCTGAGGCAGCTGCGACTTGGACTTGGTCTCCCTTCTGCTCTGCCAGGTTTGGTCCTTGGTTTCCACTAGGGGACCCAGGTCCCAGCTATTGTTCGCTTCTGACCTTTGGTTGCTCTGACCTCTGATGGCTGGAACCTGCAGGGTTGCAGATCCCCACTGGATTCGGGACTTTGCCTAGCTCCCTCCCAGCCTACCCTTGAAGCTGTGCATTAAGCTTTTCTGGTACTAACTCCTGTTGCCCTCTGTAGCCTTAACTCTGACCACAGAATCGTTAAATTCTCTTACCTCAATTAATAAAGACCGAGTGATCCCTAAACCTAGAGGAAGGTATTCTGCCATCAGTTTCTGGAAGGCAAAGATAGTTTTATACTTTGCAATAAGATTTTGATGAATATTGCTGTAAGGAAAATGAAGAAACTCAGACTCTCTTGCTTCCTGCCACTAGCCTCGGCAGCTTTACTTTCCTCCCAGGTTTCATTGTCCACCCAAGATAACGTTATTACAAAGTGTTCACAGCTGAGCATGGAGCACGCATATGTACATTGGGTTGTTGGAAAAGCCATGACATTTTTTTCCCCTGTGTTTCAAGCAAAAATGCATCTTGACTTTTCTGACACCCCAATAAGTATGGACGCCCTGGGCCAAGAAGTAGGAGACAGAAGCCAGAGCCCTTGGAGATCATGGAGGCTTGAAGGCTTGATTGCTGCCTGTCTCCCAGCTTCCCTGCCCCTGGTCTGCCTGTGTACCTGGCCTCGCTTCAGCACCAAAGACCTGTCAGCTCTACCTAAGGCACCAAGATCCTTTATCCGAATTGATAGTGAACCTGTCCAGTCTGGGATGGCTACATGACATTGCCCTTCAGAAAGGAATTCTTAAAAAGGGAGCTTTGTTTCCGATCTCAAATCTTAGTTGTTGTTTTTTTTTAAAAAAGATTTATTTATGCTGGGCCCTCCCTGGTGGTGCAGCGGGTTAAAGCACTGCACTGAGAAGCTAAGCCACTTCCGCATGAGTTCAATTCCCGCCTGCCCTGGAGGTGACCACATGGCGTGGCAGACCTCTCCTGACCCGCCCGCTGCTCCCCTCGGCAGTGTACTTCGTCGATCTGCCTGTCCTGCTCCCCACTCTGTCTCTGGTGGGGCCTCTTACTGCCCCTGAGCCTCTGGCCTGTACCCCAGTTCTGTATGCATAAATAAATCTTTTTCTTTTCAAAAGATTTATTTGTATATACAGAACTGGGGTACAGGCCAGAGGTGTGGAAATTGAGAGGATTCACCAGAGACAGAGTGGGGAGCAGAGCAGGTGGCTTGACTGAATTAGACTGCTGAGGGGAGCAGTGAGACAGGAGAGGTCTGTTGCACCATGTGGGTCAGCTCCCCGACCAGGATAAACTTGTGCTGCAGTGGCTATGGATAGCTTCATAGTGCTGAGGCTTAACCCTTTAAGCCACCAGAGAAGGCCTCAAATCTCAAGTTTTACCCTGGAGTTATGAAGCCTCCAACAGTCAGAATCTAATAAAGATGAACCAGGAAGTTTACCAACTGATAAATCCTTAGTGACTTAAAGAGGCCAGCATGGGGTAGTGACAGGAAGGAGTGTGTAATGTGAAGTCACAGGCCTAGCCCTCAGCATGCTGGTGGTGTCGCTGAGCCTCACTGTAAAGAGGGCACCGGCTTCTTGAGAGGACTTTGTGAGCATTAGAATAAAGTATACAAAGCATTTAATACATAGTAAGTTCTCCATAAATACCCTTTATTATTCGTGTTACTGGAGCCAGAAAACTTGGAGGACACTCCAAGTAGCAGCAGTGTGATCTTAGGCAAATCACATTTTCAACCTCGTTTCCCTCTTTGTAAAAGGGAGGATAATAAATACTACCTTAGCTCATGAGTTGCCAAATTCAAATAGAAAAGGTATGCAAAGGTATAGGTATTAACGAGTAATACTGTGTTAGAAAATTAAATGTTTTTGCTCTTAAGGCACCTGAGTTTAAAACAAGGATCCCTAACCGTCAATAAAATGTTAACATTTTTGGCTAATAGATTGGCTTTATGCTGATACATGCTACTGAGTTTATAAATTATTCAAATAGGATGATTATCTCACATTGCTTGAGTCAGACGAACCAGGAAGATTGGTTACACAATTTGTAGAGGCAAGAAAAACAGTGGTTTGAGTTTATAGCAAAACCTGAAGTTGTACCCTCTCACCCCTAATAAAAGAGACAGTGCAGCATTTTTTAATCCCACAAATTGGCCCAACCTAAAAAGATTTTCTTTAGAAGAGCTGGCCTCCACGCGGCCCCGACGATGAAGGCAGAGCCCCGCTGCCTACTGGCAGCAAGCGGAGGCCCTGACAGCTTTGCAAACCCCCTCCTTCCTCAGGCCATGGCTCTTAGTCTGTGAAGTTGTATATGTATTTAGAAGAATAAAGGCTGACTTTACACAGTGGCACCTATTCCTCCGAGTTCTGATTACACAATCCGCAATCTCCCCATGAAAACCAGGGAAGGCCTGAGCCTTCTGCAGCACCGCCAGTGAGCGCGGATTTCAGTGCCAATAGGTTCTCTTCAAGGCTGCTGGCAAACCAATTTTTCTTCCAGGAGCAAAATTTTTTTCCTGCATTAAAAAATGAGGGAAAAGTGCTCCATTGATAGAAAGGCCAATTTGAACAGTCTGGTCAGGAAATACAAATGGAAATTCCCATTGCAACATCCTCCTCATTGCACAGCATTCCCATTGCAACAGATGTAATCACAGTTGGTTTGTTGCTTTTTTAATTTTTTTACTTTTATAAGACGTTAGTCTCTGAAGTCTTGTTAACCAGAAATCAAATCACCTACAAAGGTGGGGGAAATACAGAGTAAGAGTGGCGTGACAAGCATTTGCAGAAAGATCAGCCCTGGTCCCAGATGAAATGTGCTGTTAAGACAGGCAAACAGTAATAAGACCCAGGCATAATTTGAACAGAACCAAAAGAATTCTTGTCTCTTGAAAAAATGTAGGAAAAAAATATCTGGTTAGGTTGAAAGAATAAATGCAGCATTTCAAAATGAAAATTGCTTTTACATAGAGATACTTTATAAAGTACAAAAAATATTTTTAAAAACCAAGCACAAAGCACTTCTACCTTTTCACTATCTTGGGATGTGAACAGCATCAGTCTCTGAAAGTTTTTCAAGAGGCAATAAAACCGCCAACCAGGAACAGGACTTTAAATTTCCCCTATTATGTCCATATTTTTAAAAATCAACAATTTTTAATGACTAAATACCACAACTAAAGGCCTGATGGAAGACTGCAGGGAATATTTTCTTTGTGCATGGAGAAACTCCTGAAGTCAGGTCACAAAAAGGGGAAGCAGGGGCAGGCGGGGTGTTGGGGCAACTGTGGGCCCTCCTGGAGGCAGGCTGACCGGGGGGCTTCCGCCTCTGGGGAGTCACAGACACGCAAATTCTGGATCAGGAAAAAACTGCAAAACAAACCTCAACCCCCCCC